GTTGACTGTACTAAAATGGCCCCCATAGTCACCAGGGGCCTCATGTATAAACGTTGCGTACGCACAAAATGGGCATAGAAATATGCGTACGCATTTTTCCACGTGCACATCGGGATTTATAAAAAATAAACTTGGCGTAAATAAGTGCGCACCGTAAGGATGCTCTTGACCGTGCGTACGCACTCTTTTAGAAGAGTATGGGTTTTGGCGACACCGATGGTGAGCTGGAGTCAAATGTCTTTTTGCTCACTATTAGACAGAGAATCTAAAGAAAATTATACATCTACAGAAAGATAATACAAATATAATTTCACAAACCTATCATCACTTGAAGCAAACATCCATCCCTTCTTAAATGACCGCGCCAGCACGCGCGTTGGGCCGTTTGGTGAAACTGACGCACATATAGCCTATAATCTAACGGCAGATGGAGTAAAACCGTAAATCTTCATTATGAGTCCAAATCATAAATACAGTCCATATTCACAATAATAGTTTAAATAAATAAAAGAATGGTACTATGTTTTACTTCTGATATAAACATTTAGATTAAATATGCCATTCTCATTAATGGAGTTAAACTCTTAAACTACATGAAATCATTACTGAGAAGTTACAATATATATATATATATATATATATATATATATATATTCAATAAATAGAAATAGACCTATTTGTTGTGGATACATTGCTTTTGAACACTTTTCTTCTGGCATGCTGTGTTTTGATGTTTTAACTAGAGATTGTCTGAGAAAACTGTTTCGTGCAAATAATGCACAACCATGTCTATCTCTTCCCTTAAAATCTCTTCCATTATCCATTAAAATATAAATCAATTAAAAATACTATTTGGCCAGTGGAAAAGATTGAGAAAAACTTTCTCTGAAATGTATTTAACACTATTTGATTTATTCATTCAAAAACAAGGCAAGGATATAGGCTACAAAAAAAAAATGTTTGTAATAATGTGACGGCACATCCGCATTTCATATTTTCCTAACGTCTTGTACCGTTAAACTTGGTATCACGTGGATGAATAATCATATGCAAATTATATGCAGATGAGGATATGCATAGTAAAACTAGGCGTTGTAATCTCCATATATGGTTATTTCGGGGAGGAGACGCACGGCGCATAATCTCCCGCTGACTGGGATTTATAACGTGAATTCTGCGCAGGTTCTGGCGTACCAACGGTTTTATAAATCTGAAAACTTTTGTGCGTACGCAAATTCTGCCTTATGTGCGTACGCACACTTTAAGGATGAAAACTACGCAAAGTTTTATGCATGAGGCCCCAGATCTCAACCCAATAGAGCAGGGGTCCTTAACTAAATTGGCAAGAGGTCCACTAACCCAATGAGCCCAGTAAACGAGGGTCCGGACATGCAAAAACACCCGGCAAAATAAGTTCTTTCATTTTATTCAATTGTAACCATGTCAACAAATTGACAAAATCTTTGACAATAAAATCTTTATCTTTAAATGTATTCAACTGATTTTGTTGAAATTCATTCAAGTATTATTTCATTTTAGTGCAAATATTCAAATGTCAAACTTTTCATCATAAATAACAGCAACAGGAAGCATAATTTTTATTGGCAGATAATTTTCATTGAAAGTTGTGTCTTGTCTCGAAATGCCGCTTGATGTTTCCACTTATAACAACAGCAACAGACTCCGAACAAATAAGACACATGGGCCTCGTAGAGCTGTAAAAATGAACGCGTACACTTCAGTCCACTCATCTCGAAAGATGCGGTTTTCAGAGTCCACTTTTCTCATTTGACAAAGCCATAATAATCAATTCACAAATATCATAGTAATGTGTGTACAAGCCAAAGTTTGTGTTCTCTCCAGATCCCGGCTCTTGCAAAGGACCTGACACACATAGCTGCCCGCGCGCACGCCTGTTCAAAAATTACTTTCGGTAAAAAATAATTTTATTTTTTTTCATAAACTTTTTAATAAAAATGTTTAGAGGTCCGGATAAAAAGGTATTGGGGTCCGGACCTGGACCCCGGTCCGCCAGTTGGGGACCCCTGCAATAGAGCATCTTTGGGATGTGGTGGAACGGGAGCTTCATCACAAATCTCCATCACCTGCAAGATGCTATCTTATCAATATGGGCCAACATTTCTAAAGAATGCTTTCAGCACCTTGTTGAATCAATGCCACGTAGAATTAAGGCAGTTCTGAAGGCAAAAGGGGGTCAAACACAGTATTAGTATGGTGTGCCGAATAATCCTTTAGGTGAGTGTTCTCTGAGACTCATCCAGTCTTCTGGCCAAGGACCTGCAGTGAGGCTCGGCTGTAGAGTCAGGAGGGCACGTTTACCCTCAGATTTACACACGGAAACATTCCATTAAAGTCATTAGTCTGGTCGAGCGGAACTGTGCAGTGCTTTTGACAGCACTGGCAGATGCTAATTTACCGCTCGCTGTGACACACAGCAAAAGCCAGTGTGTTGTTTTCTGTGATGGAAATGGGGCTGCTCAGTCCTCCATTCGTGGGAACGGTGAGGAACACAGGCTCATTGGGAAAACGTAGGCCTACCTGTGTCAACAATTTGCGAAAAGCTAAATACATACCGATACATACAGAAATGCAGAGGTGTCAAAAGTATTCACATTCATTACTCAAGTAGAAGTATAGATATTAGGGTTTTAAAAAACTTCTGTAGAAGTTGAATTATCAACTCAAGCTTTTTTCCTCAGGAAAAAGTGTAAAAGTACTGGTTTCAAATCTACTTAAACTATCAAAGTTCAAAGAGTTTATTGTCGTATGCACAGACAGAAAGCATGTTTCCTTGTACAATGAAATTCTTACTTTGCCGTCCACGTAAAATGTTGTACAATAAATACAATGTCATACAAAAATAAATAACAGAAGGAAGAATTTCTTAGTAAATATCTTAAAAAAAGCAATAGAAAATAAGGTAAAATTGCAGTTGAATAGAGCCATAAGTTAAACAGTTACAACCACACTGTAAAAAAAAATATATTTTCAAGATTTGTTATCACAACATTTTTCCTTTTGTCAAATCAACTTAAATAATTTATTTCTCGTGATTAAATCAATCTCTTTCATTGTATTAACTCACTTTTTCCAGTTCAATCAACTTAAAATTTTAAGGCAACTAGGTTGCTTACTTTTTTAAGTTAAACCAACAATATTTTTTTACAGTGCATGGTTGCAAACTCCTATCGACTGTTTAGGAGTCTAATGGCAAAAGGGAAAAAAGAGTTCGTCAATCTTGAGGCCCTGCATTTCACATTTCTATACCTCCGTCCTGAGGGTTGGAGGCGTCTCCTCCTGGAAGATGGAAACCATAGGTATCCATAATAAAGGCTAGAAGTCTCGTCCGCGCTGCTGGCCAATGGAGGTCGACGTCCGCACCTGGCGGCCATCTTGTCACAGGCTTGTAACATTTTGTTTTAATGGTGAATGTACTTTTTAAATAACCATAACTTGCTCAATTTTCTACTGATTTTCAAACGGTTTGGTTTGTTAAAAACGTCAGAGATGTAGTTATGACACTGCATACTTATGAATAATAAGTGTATAAATAAATAATCATCCAGAATTATAGCCACGTTAATAAAATTTGTAAGAAAACAAACCAAACCTTGATTGTAAATCCGTCAAGACTTCAACGAGACAAGAGTATTTGTGTTCATGCTGATCACTCATCTTACATCAGCTTGCCTGTGACAAGATGGCCGCCGGGGATGACGATAGAAACTCCGCCATAAGACATGCATCTAGCCTTTATTATGGATATATATGATGGAAACAGCTCTTCTGGTGAAATCATGGTGGCAGTGTTGTTTCAGTATTATTTATAGCATTTTTTTTAGAACAGTAACAACAATAGTGGTAAGTTTTGCGCAGTCAAGCATGACTCATAAATTCTTCAGAAAGTAGAAATGATGTTTAGCATAATCATTAATAATCTTTATTAAGTAACAGGTCAATAACATTTATACAGCCCTGCATGTATGTGGATTTAGCAGACAGCCAATGGTTTCTCTCCCATGGCGTTCACACACTGCTAAATTCAGGTGGCATTCCATGGCACAAATAGATGGAGTGTTGGTGAACAGCTGCAGTGGCGGAGGTCTATCCATCTAACCTCCGCTGACCCCAGACACTCACGTACACACACACTTCCAGCACTATATTTAAACCTAATGGAGACAACAGGAGACTGGAAATCTGCTGAAAGACAGTAGAATGGATCATCCCTATCTAATGTGAAAATGGACACTCATTCACACACACATAGAGGGACAGACGAGGGTTTAGGGGCGCATTGGCAATATTCTCAGCTCTAAAAACACTTTTGTAATGTACTTTAGGGTCCTGATTGATTTTATAATGTTGTGCTGTTTAATAACTACAAACTACAGTTTTATAATATAATTAAATTGAATTGTTATTTAATTGTATTAGTTGTTTTATTTGATATTTTTAATTTCATTTTATACAATTATTATTTTTACTTTATTTTATTTTATTGTAATTGTTTTAAATAAGAGTCCTCTAAGAATCCAGTAGCCTATGACTAGAATAAGAAAAACTATAGGATTCAGATGAAATCAAATAAGCTACTTTTTAAACTTTGACCATGTAATGTTTTACTTTCATCATTTAACTGACTAACTCACTAACTAGCCTACTCTATAATTGATGTACTAAATGGTAAATTAATTTAAGGGTTGAAACTTAGAGATGTACAATATTGTTATACAGTGTTCTTATTTTACTTCTCATAATTTTTTTTTTTATTGTTTCCAGTTTTCTTTTATCATGTAGGCCTACCAATCCATATTTTTTTCATCTCTTCATCGATCTCTTGGAAGCAGTGGGAGGGGCCACTGGCGGGTCTCGTCGGCTGCTATTGGACGAGCTCCACAGAAGGCGGGACCCAAACAACCCCCACTTCTCAACATGCAGCCTTCACCAATTCACTTCATTTTTCTCAAGGCGCTTTGTCTCTATTGTGATCAAACCACACGAGGTGAAGAACCACAGGAACATAAAGCATCCGAAACACTGGAAACTTAAACCGAAAACATCATTTTTCATTATAGTCGCAAAGATCTTTAGATCAGGAGCTCATTGACTACAGTAAGTAATACAATGTGTGATCTATTCTTTATTTTTTTATTTATTTTTTTCTAAAGTTGGCTAGCCTACTTTTGAGATGCATAATCTGTAAGATTAAAAAACGAAAATAAGTGAATGAAAATACTTCGGTTAATTTTAATTGTTGTGGAAAATGGACAATTTGTGAATATTTAAGTTATTATTTACTCAAATGTAACGATTTTGATTCCCTTTGTGATTGTCCTGAGGAGACTTTTATTATAGCTATGCTAAGTATATGTTTAGCTTCTTTAATTTACTTTGAATATGGATCAGTGACGTCACGTTGTTGTGGTTTTTTTTGTCCAGATATAACGTTATTGCTATTCAGAAATAAAAGAATAAGTTCATACAATGTCTTGAATGCACACCTCTTATGATGAACATGCTGTCATTTTCTGATTTAAACTGAATTATATACTTGTGTGTTGTCTTAAATGTTAAAAAAGCTTAATTAGCTTAATTTAAAAGGTAAAGTTAATTAAAAATAATATAAATACGAGTAGTTTGGCAATGATATTAATGAATCTTATTATTAGTGATAATATTAATAAATAAATAAAACAGACTTTGGCTAATTTGTTAGTAATGTATTGCTGTCCTCATTGAAGCACATTAAGAGTCTAAGGTGCGTTCTCCTTGACTGATTAAGACTTATAATTAAGGCCAATCCTTTTTATTAGTGTTGAAAATGATACAGATGCAAAAGCTAACACTTATTTGCATGTTATATTCCATATCTGCTGCATTGTTTTATCAGGATCTCTTACCACTTGTAGTTACCTCTCCAAATGGGGTTTGTCAGCTGAAGAGAGTGTATGGGTTTTATTTAGTTTATGGCGGTGTATTGAATATTGGCATGCCAGATGGCGTGTAAGGATGTCATCCCTGAATCTCTGGGTTCTCTGGACCTTATGCACATCAGTCAGGGAATGGGGGGGTCAGAGGTCAGGGAGAAAGTGAGAAATCCCCTTTGAGTTGATCAGCAGAATGGTTGGGACATGTTAGATGGACAGTTGTGCAAACCTCAAAGCTATCACAAGCTGACTAAAACTGTCACAAAAGTCAGATTAGAGTTCATTTTATATTGGATTAATGGATGGGGCAATACAGTGTGACGCACATCGAATGTGAATGGACATTAACGACCAATCAATAGTTGACACGGTAGCCGATATCAGAAGAGTTGTGTGACCATGTGATGAGGCAAAAATCTGTGTTTCAGTGAACTTCATATGGAGACCTTTGCAATCAATGAACATGAGTAAACAAGAATGTCCCAGAATTTTCTCGAGACAAAACGTGACATCAGCCTGACCAATCATATCCCTTCCTCAAACTTTGTCCTGGATGTAAACGTTTGCATCCAGTGAGGTCAGAGCTTGTGAGTTGGTGCTGACAGATGAGAGGTCACTGACCTCAAGCCCAAGGCCAGAGATGAGCGTATGATTTTGTAGGATTGCAGTCTATTTGAGTGAGGAGTTCATTTATGTTGCTGGTATACTCTGTTTGCTTGAGTCTGACATTTGTATTGATGCTTTTGAGTCACAGGACCAAGATCACATGTGAATTTGTTGAATTCTCAGTCTTGTTCGTACATTTTTGTATAATCTGCTTACGTCCCACTGATGGTTAGGTTTAGGGGTGGACATTCATCTTTCTTTTGTTTCCATACAAATTACATTTTATGAATTCATACAAAATCACCTCCTTGTAATTAAATTTTTTTATCGTTAAAATAAAAACGGTAATTGCGACTTTGTATGAGTTTATTTCTCACAATTGCGAGATATAAAGTCGCAATTGCCTGTTATAAAGTCAGAATTGCAAGATGTAAAGGCAGAATTGATTGATATAAAGTCACAATTGTGTGTTGTAAAGTCAGAATTGTGAGATATAATGGCAGAATTGATTGATATAGTCGCAATTGTGTGTTAAGTCAGAATTGTGAGATATAAACTATTCTGAGGTTAAAAAAGCTTTTTTTCCCTTAGAATTGGCCTGATAACTTACAATTGTGAGTTTATTACTCACAATTCTGAGAAAAGAAGTCCGAATTTCGAGATATAAACTCGCAATTATGTGTTATAAAGTCAGAATTGCAAGATGTAAACTCGCAAATGTGAGAAAAAAAGTCAGAATTGTGATGTTTAAAATCTCAATTCTGTTTTTTTTCTCACATTTGCAACTTTATTTCTCAGAATTGTGATTTTATTTCTCACAATTCTGACTTCATATCTCGCAACTGTGAGATATAAAGTCGAAATTGCGTGTTGTACAGTCGCAATTGCATGTTATAAAGTCAAAATTGTGAGATATTGTCAGAATTGATTGATATAGAGTCGCAATTGTGTGTTATAAATTCAGAATTGTGAGATATAAAGTCGAAATTGCGTATTATAAAGTCAAAATTGTTAGATATAAACTATTCTGAGGGTATAAAAAAGCTTTTTTCCCCTTAGAATTGGCCTGATAACTCGCAATTGTGAGTTTATATCTTACGATTCTGAGAAAAGAAGTCAGAATTTCGAGATATAGACTCGTAATTATGTGTTATAAAATCAGAAATGCGACTTTATTTCCTACAATTCTGACTTCATATCTCGCAATTGTGAGATAAATAGTCGCAATTATTATTATTTTTTTAATTCAATGGTGGACACAAGCTTCCGTTGGATATATCGCGTTGGATATATTTCTTAGGAATTGATTGGATTTTGAAAAGTGGGTGTTATACCAGAATCCAGACAGGTGGATACAGTGAGTTGATAGACGGATAGAAACAATTAGACAGACAGAGTACGTCACTGATCTTTATCGGTAAAATAAACCTCAGTTGGCAGTCTGGTGAAGAGCAATCATTGCTCAGGTCCTTTTAACCTCAAAGAGGTTGAATCAATCCCGTCAAATGTGTGCCAAACATGGTATAAGCCTGCTATTAGTACCTTGGAGCTAATATCACGTTGCTATAGCGCTTTATTCAACAGCAGCTCTAAAACGAAAATAGTGTCGTTGTTCAACTGAAGTCAGTTCAGTGTTGATTCAGTTAAAGATCGATTTTTACATTAGTTCATATTTTCATCTATGAGCAGTTCTGCAGAAAAACAGTGATGTCATCATCCAGTTCAGCTCAGTTGTCATCCAATAATTTCTGTCAAATCAGTAAAACTGTTGAATATGAAGTGTCCGATGTTCGGCGACTGTATCATAGTAGCGCCACATTATTTATTTTTATGGTGTACAGTTACCAAGTGTTTGCTGTGGTTAACATCAGGACTAGGAGGACTTTATATGAACCTCAGTGTTCATGTAAAGCGGTGGGCTGGTGGCTTCTTGGCACACAAACTGACACATGGTGAACCTCAGGCTCGCTCATAAAGAGAAGAATGAATGTAGATGTGCTGAAACACTTGCTTTAGATTCATTGCTTTTTAAAATAGTTTAAAAAAAGCAAAGTCTGGTTTGTTGTGGTGAATTTAAAACCACAATATTGTGCAATGCGAAACGTTCCTCTTTGAATGTTGAATTACTTTAGATAGGACCGATTTAAAGGTACAGAGTTATTAATCTGACGCTCACAGCAGGAGGCATTTCATCTCAGGTTGTCAATTAAATGTGATTCACTGTTTGGGAAACAGTTCAGCCTGCCAGTGCCTAATTAAAAGCTCCCTTGTGCAAGCGTGAGTTTAATTGACATTATCCACATTCAAATGGTTTCCTAAACTCATCATCACCACGGCCAAATCACGTTCAATAGCTTGATGTCCACAGCTACACTTGCTGCCCAACCATGCACAACCTGTTAAGCATTTTAAGTGGTTGAAGCCTGTTATCTGCCTCCTGCACACCCCCCCCCCCCCCCCACAAAATTACATTGTTAATCACACATTTGATTCTTACAGTAAAAGTCAATTTCAATAGGTTTGTGGGTGATGTTATTTAAAAGTTAAACTTTATTTAAAAGTTATTTTCATACTTTTAAAATATTTGATGTAATATTTAATTTGATTAAAAAAATAATATAAAATATTTCAAGTGTGTGTGTGTGCGTTACATTTATAAAACAGTTTATTTTATAAAAACAGTTTTATAATAAAATAAAAGTATAATTAATGTCAAATTTAAAAGGCATATATATGTAAATCTAAAAACATGTATTAAATTTAATATATTTTATTATATATGTACGTTTATATATGAAAAAGAATGTAAGAAACATTTGTATTCCTAGTTCTATAAAAATGTTTCTTACATTTCTGTTCATAAATTCTCATCATTTATCCCTAGAAAAGTCCTCAGGGAAAAATCATGATGGTGGGACCATGTTCAAGCCCAAAATGATTTCAGATGAGTCATACTTGCTCTACTGTTCAAAAGGGAACATCTAAACATGGTCTGTTCTGCATGTAAACCTACCGCTTCAGGAGCTGAGCCTGCCGACCAATCAGAGCAGAGGTTGTGTTCACTCTACTACTGACATCAAGTTTTTAAGAACATGTAACAAACTGGGCAGGGCAGACTTGTAAATAAAGATCCAGACCCATAACATTTGCTCTTGGTCTGTGGGAAAAAGCATTTGACTAGAGGGAAAAAAAAGAATAATAAATTCACTTTGTATATGTCATGAATTTGGCTATAGTTAATCTCGTCCTGTTTCTTGACCCTAGCTTGAGGTGTTGGTCAGTGTAATGTCTTTATTATTGTGAATGTAAAGCCCTTTTGAGAAGGCAGCACATTGTTGAATGTACATCAAGGACAGTGCATTGTGTGAAAGGGAGGATAAAAAAGACAAAAGCGTGATAGAACTTAATACTGCGCTTTACACCCGAGTTATCGTATTTTGTTAATCTTGAAAAGTAGTTAGTCCTTGTATATTAACCCAATAAATGCCTTTTATCCACTTTGTTACTGTGTATTGCTAATGCTAAGTATTAATATGCACTTGTTGACCATCCTGTGTCTATCAAAAATTTGGAGGTAAATTTATCAGATCTGACATATTTAATAACCTTGAGCTCAATCTTTGCGGGTCAAATATTGCATTAAGATGTGTCAAAGGAGTAGTAAGGAGTAGTAATTTACTCACCCCCATGTCATTCTTTCTTCATTCGAAAAGAAATTAAAACATTCCAGGATTTTTCTCCATAAAATGGACTTCAATGGGGTCCAAACGGTTTAAGATCCAAATGAGAGTTTCAGTCCTGTTCATCAAAATGAACGAATCTTTTTTCGAGTCATTTGCTTCATTCGACGAACGAAAGAACAAAATGACTCTTTTGATGAACAGGAGAGCCACGAACGCGCAACAGAGCAGAGCAAGGCGAGCATTTGAGCTTATAAAATGTAAAAAAATGTTATTTATTTTTTAAATGAGCGATCGTTTTGCTTGATAAGACCCTTATTCATCGTCTGAAATCGTTTAAAGCCCTTTGAAGCTGCACCGAAACTCTCATTTGGACCTTGAATCATTTGGACCCCATTGACGTCCATTATATGGAGAAAAATCCTAGAATGTTTTCATCAAAAACCTTCATTTCTTTTCGACTGAAGAAAGAAAGACGTGGACATCTTGGATGACATGGGGGTGAGTAAATTATCAGCAAAAGTTTTTTTTTTTAAGTGAACTACTCCTTTAAGGCTGACAAAAACATATATTATACGACATATCATCCTCATGTGATATTCAAGCTCCTGTTAGAATTTAGAGTCTCAAAGAAGAGCTTCTGTTCATAATGCCTTTTGTCACGTTATGTTGAGCCTGTTCATGTAAGTACAGTTAGTGCTAATTGAACAATACCTCAATGAGGATAAAATGTAAGGGATGATGTATATACATTCAGCTGGTCATTATTGCACAGTGAACCCTGCAGGGTGATGGGGTTTATTTGGAGGGGTTTGTTTTGCAAGAATGAATCGCGTTTTGACACAACATGTTGCTAGTAGCAGTTTTAAACGTTAATAGTGCTGGAATCTCATGTCTGCATCAGTCTCATTTGGAAATGGACTAGACTCGAGACCTTCCTCAATTATCAGACCGTAAATGAACACATTCATACAGTTCTTCTTTCCCTCGCAGACAGTTGTTATTGCAAACAGTGTGTGTGTTAAATTTATCATGACAGCTGGGCGTCTCAGTGGCCCTACTATTCAGTGGATTGAAAACCTGGAACATAAAATAAACAGTGACGTAGCAAATGTTATCGAGCCTTCATTTTTCCAGGGAACGTCAAGACACTGTTCGCTGAAGAGCGAGAACATCTGCTGGTCTAAAATTACACCCTGGTACGCTGCGTCTCATTGTGTTTGTTGAAAACGGACGACTTAATAGCATGCATAAATGAAAATTAGCTCTCAGGGGAAACTGGTGAAAGGCCAGTCACTAAATCGCTGGATAATCCTGGTGGTTTCTTTAGGTGGCCGGCCGCACTGCTGTAACTGAGTGGTAGTGATGGAGTCCATCAGGCTGATTTGAGATGATTTCTAGGGTGATTTTGTGCATTACTGACAGGTGTTTCACAATGCAATAATGATGTGAAGAAGAATCAAAATAAGAAGAAATTAAATTTTCCATCAGACTTAATTAATATAATGAACAAACTTGTTTTTGGACATGTACGCCAATAACATGTTTATTTTTATGCATAAGTACTTTGAAATACAATGCTGCTGAATTATGTAGTATCATCATTTTATACATAAAAGTACCACATTATTACCATCGGGCCCCATTACGCTTTTATTATATAGTGTAGTATGAGTAGATTGGGACATATGCAGTATTGTTTTAGTATTATTTATATACTATAATAGTATTTTTTTAATACTAATGCATTAATGTATTTATTAATGCTATAATTTTTTCCATTAGCTTTTAGTTTTGATTTTAATTTAACTTTTTTCAAAAAAAATTGTAATTAGCTTTATTTCATATTTATTTCAGTTTTAGTTTTAGTTCTTCACCTTAACCTTATTTATTTTATTTAAGTTCCATGGCAATATTTCTATTTTTCATGGAACTTTCTTGAATAATATTTACATTTTATTTGATTTCAGTTAGTTAAAATGATTTTTAATAAGTTATAATTAACAGTAACAACCCTGGACATTATGAGACAGATGCATAAAGTTAATATATATATATATATATATATATATATATATATATATATATATATATATTCAATTGTTGTCAAAATCTTTATGCTTTTCAGCAACTCTGAACAACTCACACACAGAACTGTGGGATATCGACGGCTTCCTCCATGGAACCTACCAGATCAGAGATGAGTATCCTACCCAATGGGAAAGGTCATGACCTCGGAGAGGAAATGTGCGTGCCAATGAAGACTATGATGGAGGAAGAACAGTAAGCGCTTTTGCATCACTCCAATCATTCAGTTTCATCAAAGACTTTAGATATACAAAGATGGTGCATTACTTTGAATATGGTGGAATAAGTCCCGTCTCCTAAAAAAAAGAGCCAATCCCTGATTGGTAAAGCCATTGCCTCACTGCAGCTGCCGCTAGAAGCTCCGGTTGCAATTGAAACAATCACTGTTCTGACACATGTGCTGGTCCAACCTGAAAAAGGCAGTTTTTGTCATGATTTGAGCGTTTAGAAGCAAATTTTATTTGACAGTTGTTAGGGATCAGGTGGGTGGAGATGGTTTGATTAGGGGTGGGGTTAGGAATCAGGGGGTGGAGATGGGTTGATTAGGAGTGGGGTTAGGAATTAGGGGGTGGATATGGGTAGGATTAGGGGTGGGGTTAGGGATCAGGTGGGTGGAGATGATTTGATTAGGGGTGGGGTTAGGGATCAGGTGGTGGAGATAAGTAGGATTAGGGGTGGGTTAAGGGATCATGGGGTGGAGATGGGTTGATTAGGGGTGGGGTTAGGGATCAGGAGGGTGTAGATGGGTTGATTAGGGGTGGGGTTAGGGATCATGGGTGGAGATGGGTAGGATTAGGGGTAGGGTTAGGGTTCAGGGGGTGGAGATGTGTAGGATTAGGGGTGGCTTTAGGGATCATGGGGTGGAGATGGGTTGATTAGGGGTGGGGTTAGGGATCATGGAGTGGAGATGGGTAGGATTAGGGGTAGGGTTAGGGTTCAGGGGGTGGAGATGTGTAAGATTAGGGGTGGCTTTAGGGATCATGGGGTGGAGATGGGTTGATTAGAGGTGGGGTTAGGGATCATGGGGTGGAGATGGGTAGGATTAGGGGTTGGGTTAGGGATCAGGGGGTGGAGATGTTTAGGATTTGGGCTGGAAATATGGTAAACAGCTTTGGAGAATTTGTTGCTTTCCCATTCAAAGAGATAGTAGCTTTGCATGACAGAAATAGCTGCCGGAGTTGCGTTTCAAAGTTGACCGCCGAATGAAACGACTTGTCTTACAGGGACTTTGACTTTATGTACAAACGCTGAACATTTTGACTTTCATTGTCTTGCGGCAGTAAGATAAGTTAATTGCATGTGACAGGAAGTGCTTTCTCATTTACCACCTGCATGGAGAACCAGGCCACTTTAAATTGTGGTTCTGGTTTTGCTTTTTAGTTTTTAGCATGTTTTCCCTAAAGAACAGACTTGCAACATATATCATGTTCATTGTGTGCTTCTGTACTGAGGTCAATGCAAACTTTATTTGTAGCTTACTTTTGTATATTTCTCAATGCACGTTTACCTTCTGGCATGGGTGTGTTGACTTGTGGGCTTGTCTAAGTGCATGTTTACCCTCTTTTCTGCTCTTGCTCGATGATGGACCCTCTCACACTCTCTATCAACCCTCAGAAACGGTATCCATCACGGCAGGTATGTCAATAACAGAAAACAGATGACGTTACTAGACGAAGATGAGGTTACTTGATCATTGTCATTTAAATGTCCACTGTCTTCCATCCAACAGATTCGATGACCCTGAGAGCACACTCGCTGAGAACATTGAGTTCCTGCCCAACGGCAATGGCAAGAAGCCACGTTTTACTGATGTAAGTATCTGCAACATTTGCTGTGAACTTCCAAGTAACCAATAGCATATCAGGAATAGCTCGTAGAAACTAAACGATGTGTTGATGTTAGTCTATGTAGCACTACTGCTGGTGTTTTTGTCTGTTTTAGTTGCTTATCAATCTTATTTCCTATCTCAGTTTGAGGGGAAGACCTCTTTTGGCATGTCAGTCTTCAATTTGGGCAATGCCATTATGGGCAGTGGGATTTTGGGATTGGCCTACGCTATGGCCAATACTGGCATACTGCTTTTCTTGTAAGTGAAATACCTTCATTACCCTCTTAATGACAAATTGGCTTCAAAAGTGATCCATTGTTCTATGTTTGTTCTCATGTAAAGCATCACTGAATCATCTCATAGTCACCCAAATGAACCTGTCACTTCCAGCCTTCAATGAATCAGCATGTTAACGTCATCTAAATGTCAAGCATGTGGCTGCCCCATTGGCTGTCTAATTGCCATGGTAATTAAAGTATAGGTTTTACATCTGTTATTTTTCCAGACATGCTCTTGAATAATTGAATGTTTCCTTTTGGAGGCTGTTAATGTTCATGAACATGGGTGTACCAGACGGGATTTTGATCTATGGAAAAGATCCACACACTGATTGCATTCTGCCCTTGTTTCAAGAGTTTTACTTACAATGTAAAATTATGAACAACTCAACTCAACTTATTATATTTATACTAAACATATTGGCTTCTATCATACCTCCTATAGCTATATGTATGCACAACTGAAGAATGCTTAAAGTTGACTAGCAGCAGTACTTACTATTTCCAAAGAGTAGAGGAGGAAAGCTAACACATGCCATTTAATGTTTATTTCCCACCTTCTGAAAATTTTCCACTCGTTAGCTCCACCCCTCTCGCCTATCCACGGCCCCAGAAAGGCCATGACCTGGGCTGGCCACGCCTCCTCCGTTCGCCAGACACATCCTTCTTTTCAGGATCACCCTCCCCCATCCAAATATAGTTGTTATATTTGGTTTCCTCTCGCAGCCTGTCTTGGTCTGACTGGGGGAGGAGAGCGGGGAGACGTCTGAGGCGTCTGAGGCTCCTGTCAGGTTACAGGGAATTAAATACTACTGATCAAATGACCTAACAGGCCAAGACTGCTTCCTCCAAAGATAGTCTTATTTCCAGACACATAACAATAAATTAACCTAATGAATGGCAAACAAATGGATCACAACAGAAATGGTCGATGCAAAAACTCTTGTAGATGTGTCGATTGCAGAGCACAGGTACTGAGATCACCTGTTAGGCAGCTGTTGTTGAGAACATCCATCTCGTTTGAATACAGAGATCATCCCTTGGCCATTGCTAATTGCTTGCCATTTATCAGGTACTTGTCATCTAAATGGACTAAATTCAAGGAAAGTCTGCCTCCTGCGGTGAAGCATTGTGAACGTATCCTGAAAGTACAATAATCGCTTTACAAGAGAATTCCACTATTGTGTAGTGTAGCCCTTAAACCGTATTCACTTTAAAGCCCTTAATCCTGTAATTGTGGACAAATGTGGGCACAGAGGACTCAGGTGTGATCCTAATTTTTATTTATTATAAATGTTATATCACTGTCTTCGATAAAGTTTTGTCTATCCATTTATGGTGTTTTTGTTTCATTTTGGGGTATTTTTGAATTTATTTATTTCAAAAAGTACCATATTTTCTATGTAAATAATTATTTATTTATTTTTTTAATTACATTAAAATAAGTTCTTAGAGCTAAAACCCAAAGATGGTGTGACTTTGCTCGCTGTCACCTGGTGTCTTATTTTGGCTTATTTTAGAATGCTCTAAATTACAGTTTTTCCCATTCATTTCTATGGGTGCCCATTTTTTACCCAAATGCAAGATTAATGAGTTTTTTTTCACCCATTTAACAGTGTAGAATTGAGTCAAAAAATTGTGTGTGTTCAGGAGGCAAACTTAGGAAAAGTAGCCAAGTCTTGTACCGGTCAGATCAAGGGAAGTATTTTTTAAAAATAAATTTGTCCAGAATACGGTTTTAGGATTAAGGTTCTATCAGCTATTTGCCTTTCTAAAAGTTGGCTTTCCATGACATTAGCTAAAAGAAAAGAGCTGGATGAATCAGTAAAATTGGTTAGTGGTGTGTTTGATCATGGGGTTTCATGGAACAGATTACCAGACGTACATTTTTGGTTCCAACACAAACACTGGCGCCTTCCCAAGATTCATTCAGCAGTAATTCTTACTCAACACTGAAAAAAAAAAACCTTTTAGAAAGCATGTATGCAATGCACTTAGAACTCCAGCTGTAGACTTTATATTATATTTGAGTGGTTTTAATAGTTTGTAACCTTAGACTCCTAATCGCATGCTGCTCCAAAGGGATTGTCCCTCTAATGTGTGTAGGTCATTTCAGATAAAAGGTCAGCTAAATGTCAGTTTGGTAAGTAGAAAGTAGTTCATTAATCTCCAGTAGAGGAACTTTCCTTCTACTTCTTGTACTTGGGTGAACTTCTAGAAAAGCCATCTATTAAGTCTAGCATGTGTGGAATTTGAGGTGATGTGATGGTTGTGTTTTGTCTTCAGGTTTCTCCTCACGGCTGTAGCTGGTCTGTCCTGCTATTCTATTCACCTCCTGCTGAAGTCTTCTGGTATTGTTGGTAAGAAGAACTGTATTTTTCTTGATCGGTTTGTTGTATTGTCATTTCCTAATCTGGTGGACGGATGCCTTAAAGTTAACACAGTCACGTAATAACAATCTGCATTTTTTTATTTTTGTAATCTGAACAGGAATTGCCTGAAATGGGTCAATATAGTGGAGAAAATTTGGAAATTTGAACTACTAATAGTTTGAATTATTAACTGTTTAAATTGGACATATACTGTATATGAAGAGTTCAGATGCGAAAGCCTCTAAGTGCCATTTGAAATTTTCTTTTAGAATGATCATTTTTATCAAGCTTGTATATTTAAGTTCAGTGAATTCACTTAAATGGCTATGATAATTACCTATTAATTGTTATTTAAGTGAAATTACTGAACTTAAATATACAAGTTTGATAAAAATCATCATTAAAGAAGAAAATTTCAAATGGCATTTAGAGGATTTTGCATCTGAACTCTTCATATATAGTTTAGTATGTTTAGTTCAATACTAAACATTGAAAGAAAGAGATATGTGTTGTTTTAAAACATTTTAAGAGGCATTTCTTGTTATGCAGTTGTTGGCATTTTCAGTGTGGTGTTGTGATGTCATTTCCGTTCTGAAAACACAATTCAGCTTCCATTTTAGGGCTTACTGAGTTTCCATGTTAACTCGGCGGTCACCGCAGGGAAAGATAATCATAACATGCGATAGGGTTTTGTGGAAACTTGGCTCTGGTGGTGAGATTTGTCTCTCTCTTCATGTTTTACTGACTTTCATTTCCAGGAATCAGATCATACGAACAGCTGGGATTCAGGGCCTTCGGAATGACAGGGAAGATGGCGGCCGGAATTGCCATCACTCTTCAAAACATTGGAGGTAAAGAAAAGACATTAATATTTGCCCAATATTGTTTTTAAGGATCCTTTATTCATCTCTATATATTCTTGTCTGGCTTCACCAGTTAATTTCCACCCATGTATTATTTTTTACACACTTTCTGAAGTGACAAAACTTGCTTTATGCTGATATTTAACACTGTTTCCATGTTATTTAATCCCCAAATTATTAATGCTGCCTGTTCTTCAGGTTTCTTTAGACTTAACTGTGACTTTTCATATTTAATTTGTGTAAAAAGTAGGGCTGTGCAAAAGTTAATTGCGATTAATCGCATCCAAAATAAAAGTCTGTGTTTACATAATATATTTGTGTGTGCTGTATATAATTATTTTGTATATATAAATACACACACATGCATGTATATATTTAAGAAAATATGTTATTAATATATAAAATATTTATATTTATATAATATAGATTATGTATTTATAAATACATACAGAATTTAAGCGCAAATAATTCTTAAATATATACATGCATGCATAGGTATTTATATATACAAAATAATTATATACAGCACACACAAATATATTATGTAAACACAGACTTTTATTTTGGATGCGATTAATCGCAATTAACTTTTGCACAGCCCTAGTAAAAAGTCTTAAATCGAATTTTACTGACTTATTTTTTTTTTTACATTTAAAAATAATAGTAAAATTAATTCTAGATTAAAAGTATCCCCCCCTAAGAATTGCATAACAATAACATTAATCACACTGACTCGGATTAATATTATGCATATAAAATACACACAAAAATAGTAATGGATATACAAGTCATATAAATAGATAAAGATACCAAGATACATTTTATATATATATACAGTATATATAAGCAAGATATATTTATCTATTTTTTTAAATAGTAAAAACAAGGGTGCAACAAGCAAAATGAGCATAACATTTACATTTATTCATTTAGCTGACGCTTTTATCCAAAGAGACTTACAATTGCTATATATGTCAGAGGTCACACGCCTCTGGAGCAAATGGGGGTCAAGTGTCTTGCTCTTAGTGGATTCGAACCCGGGTCTCTCACACCAAAGGCGTGTGTCTTATCCACTGCGCCCTCATAAAATCACGATGAAGGTTAGTTTCTTTTGATTGTGTTTCTTCTACCCTAATTTAGTCATTTTTTTATATTTCCTATAGCCATGTCCAGTTACTTATACATCGTCAAGTCAGAGTTCCCACTGGTCCTGCAGGCGTTTTTGAGAACAGATACCAGTTCAGGGTAAGTACTTTAGAGTGTCATTGTAGAATGCCGAAATGAAATGAGAAAATCTCGACCTTCCCTCAACCTGCAATTTTGCCAGTTAAATGTGAATGAATTGATAGTTCTTCACCGACTCTGTTACTCCAGCCCAACATGTACTGTCACTATCAGCTGACGATGTCACGGTCCGTTGAGGTCAAAGACCTGCGCTCCACTGGGCCAAAACACTGAAAAATCGCAAGCTGGCGTCAAGGGGAGGTGTGGTGGCTGCTGTTAACTGTGATTGGCCAGTTAATAAGAGAACGAAGGCTGATTGGCTGATGCTGTCTGTTTCCCACCACACCTCTTTCCTCCTTCTTTAAACAAGCATACTGTCATGGCAACTGCTTAACGTTATGATTGGTAACACTTTACTTGAAGGGGTGTACATGACACCTTCATAACCATGACATGACATATGTCTTAAATATGAATTAGGGTTTCTGCATGTTTATGACAACTGTCATTAAGTGTCTTTCGCTCAATAATGACATTTTGAATGCAAATATGACATTGTTTGACTGACATCTTGACATAAACCAATACATCATAACCTGTCAGTGCCTTTGTCATGACAACTTGACATAAAAGTTAAACTGTCATGTGGTTGGCTTTGACATTGGCTGTCATGAGGCATTATAACTGTGTCATGAATATATTTCGTGACCTCAACTACAGTGGTACTAATTGAATTTGTCATTAAAAAGTTATAATGGCTTCATGACCGCCAATGTCAAAAACCAACCACCTGACAGTTTAATGTAATGTTAACCCATAAAGTTTGGTTGGTTTCTTAAGTTTTATAATTAATCTGCTATGTCATGTTTATGACAGGTTAGTAATGTCAAGTTGTCATGACAAAGACACTGACAGGTTATGATGTATTGGTTTATGTCAAGGTGTCATAACAAAGACATCTCAAACAATGTCATATTTGCATTAAAAATGTCATAACTGAGCGAATGACACTTAATGACAGTTGTCACAAACATAAAACTTCCTTCATATTCATAACTTATGTCATGTCATGATTATGAAGGGCCAGTTCAAAGGTAAGCTGATCGGATTTTGGTTATCGGATTGGATCAAATCTTGAAAATGGGTTGTTCAAAAGGGAAAGAAGGAATCTGAAATCAGATTAGATCAGGGAATCCAATCCTAGTTTTAATCTGGATCAAACCTTCAGTTTGTGTTGTTCAAAACTTGTCAGTGGGACTTGGATAACTTTGATTCCAAAAAAACAGGATTATCCTAAACCCAACAGGGGGTAGGATTTCAAGGTGGATTTCAGGAAGAAAATGTAGAAAAACTTTAAAATTGGTCAAATAATACATTTGTATCATTTAGTGTATATATTTTTATTTATATTTTGCACTTGACTTGTGTAAACGTTGTAACAGTGATAAAGTAGAAATAGGCTAACAATTAAGTTATTCAGTATAGAAAAAGTAAAAAATAAATAAATAAATATCTTGTCCCCATTTATGTTTGGTTTCAAAATAAGAGTGACCCCATGTTGGCTCTTCTACCTGTTCTTTACATAGCCGGTAGCCCACGTTGCGATATGTTGTCCCATTTAGAGCACTGGTAATCCGGATTTGGTAACGGTGTATCTGGATCAGGGTGATCCAGTCCAGTGTTGCTTTAAAAAACTGGCATAAAAGTAAGACGGATTACTTGATCCTGGATAGGAAGAGATGGGATTTCCAAATCCGGACCATTTTGATCCACATTAAATGTTTTGAACAACTGGCCCGAAGGTGTCATGCACACCCCTTCAAGTAAAGTAATACCGCTTGTGTTCTCAGGTTAAATCATCTGTTTTATCAATTATGGTGTTGAAAACAGACACATCATAGTGTTTGAAATTGAGTTTATAGTAAGAAGAGGTTTGTCTTCATTACTGTAATTGTCTTCATTACTAGGCCTGTGAGTGTCGTTTTTTAAATTCTACGCACAAAAAAAGCCACATTTTATTTTGAATCCCCTAAAAATTGATAATTAGCAAGAAGTTTAAACATCAAAATCTCATGTCGTGTAATGTGTATTTCAAAATGACTGGATTAGTCTGAAGACTTCCATTTAACAGAGTGAAAGTGTAGATGGGCAAGGTGATTTATTTATATGAGCAGTGTTAAACTCACACAGGCTTTGGTTCCAGAGGCTTTTCAGTTCTGTATAATAATGAACCCGTCAGCAGTGTTAGAAACCCAGCAAAGATGACAGTGTTGTGCTTCACTGTTAACATTATGCATTGACTGAGAGCTTTTGTATAATTTCAGGAGCAGGTGCAGCAGGATGTGTGTATGTATACATATGTATATATACCTTATTTTACGTAAATACATGCCTTATATATCATATTTGATGTAAATGCAGTTTGAATATGCATTTCCTTTACCAGTATATTGGGAAGCACACTTCTGTTCTGCATATCTGTGTTGATATATATTAATATTTTGGTTCTTGCATGTTGCCGACTTCTGCACATTCTGTAAAGCAGCCACTTCTACTATAGACCATTTTACAAGATGTAAACAACACTGGTCCAGAAGCACTTCCTGTGTCAGTTTGTTTCACATGTTATGTTAAGATGTTTGTTTAACTTTTTGATTCAGTTTTAAATGTTCTGTTGGTTGTATTTTATCCCAGCTTTTATGTAGTGTTAAAAAACTGAAACAGGAAGTGCTTCTGGACCAGTGTTGTTTACATCTTGTGAAATGGTCTATAGAGGAATCTTTATGCCCCTAATGATAGATAGCACATCTTATATAATGCGTTTATGATGTTTCATTCCCACGTGTAGTTGTCTACACAGTGTTTGAATACTGGGAAGAGTGGAGAGGGTCTGGAAATAGAGCAGTCTCAAACAAGGTCTGGACTTGACATACTGCGCAACACCTTGTGACTCCGTGTGTGTGTGTGCTCGTGTTCACAGTGTGGTGGTTACTTGAGTCCAGGAGTGGGAACTGTGCCATGTCGCAGTCAGCTTTCAACTATTTAGATGGTCTGTGTCGCTAGCGGCTTCAGCAAACACAACATATACCTTCTCATAAATCACACGAATTGCAGACTCGGTCGGAAATCAGATGGAGTTAGACGGGTTGATTCTGTGTCGATGTTTTCTACAGCCGCACATGTGAAGTTGCTCAAGTTGGCTTGTCAGGCAGAAAAGGAGACCAGAAGCTTTAAAATAGGCACATAAAGTTAAGAATAGTTGTATTTTGTACTATTTGCTGGTTTTAGTTACTTGTGCATGCTTTATTTAGAGCTCCCACTTAACCAGAGCGTAATTTCTCATTTCACCAGCAATGAAAACATATCACATCCCTTAAAGGGTTTTTTTGGTTTTGTTTTGACATTTTTCCCCCCATGTCTCTCGTGCTCACCAAAGCTGCATTTATTTAACCAAAAAATACAGAAATATTATTATTATTATTATTAAAATAACTGTTTTACAATTAAATATATGTTAAAATATAATTTATTTCTGGGATCAAAGCTGGATTTTCAGCATCATTGGTCCAGCCTTCAGTGTCACATGATCTTTCAGAAATAACATTTGTTTTTTTTTAGTTTTACTGCTTAACATTTTTGTGGAAAACGTTATGCATTTATTATTTAACAGAAAGTTTAAAAAACAGCTTTTATTTAAAATAGAAATCCCTTACAACATTATAACATCTTTAGTGTCACTTGTGATAAATGTAACGCATTTCTGCTTAATAAAAGGATTTCTTTCAAAAAAATTTCAAAGTATCATATCCCCCTTTTTCTTTTTGTAACTTTTATAATGAGCAAATAAATGCACATTTCAATTATTTATTGTTTCTGTATTTTAAAATGTTTTTTATTAAAGTAAAAAAGGGAGCATTTTGAGGACTTTTGAACCACATTATATATTTAAATAGTCATGGAAGACCACTTTTAGAGTTCAGAATTCAATTGGTCTTGGGTGAAGTCATAATTTGAGAATAAATTCTCACTACTGAAATATATTTCTGTATCTGCTTAATTTCTGGATCTTAAGAGTAGTTCTTTTAAAAAAACTTTTGCTGATAATTTACTCACCCCCATGTCATCCAAGATGTCCATGTCTTTCTTTCTTCAGTCGAAAAGAAATTAAGGTTTTTGATGAAAACATTCCAGGATTTTCTCCATATAATGGACTTCAATGGGAACCAAACGGTTCAAGGTCCAAAAGACAGTTTCAGTGCAGCTTTAAACGACACCAGACGATGAATGAAAAAACCAAAAAATGAAATCGCTCATTTCAAAAACCAAAACAAACAAAGTTTAAGTTTTATAAGCTCAAATGGTCGCCTTGCTCTGTTCTGTGATGCGCGGTCGTGACTCTCCTGTTCGAACTCGTTTATCAAAATTAACTAATCTTTTTCATGTCATTTGGTTCATTCAAAGAACGAAATGAACGAATTGACTCGGAAAAAAAAGATTTGTTCATTTTGATAAACGTGTTCGAACAGGAGAGTCACGAACGCGCATCACAGAACAGAGCAAGGCGACCATTTGAGCTTATAAAACTTAATTTTTTTTTCTAAATGAGCGATCGTTTCGCTTGATAAGACCCATATTCATCGTCTGAAATCGTTTAAAGCCCTTTGAACAGTTTGAAGTTTGCTCTGAAACTCTCATTTGGACCTTGAACCGTTTGGTTCCCATTGAAGTCCATTATATGGAGAAAAATCCTGGAATGTTTTCATCAAAAACCTTAATTTCTTTTCGACATGGACATCTTGGATGAGATGGGGATGAGTAAATTATCAGCAAAAGTTTTTTTTTAAAAGTGAGTGAACTACTCCTTTAAGCCTTGTCTGAAAGTGATAAGAATAAGGTTTGAATTCACAATCATCACCTGACAAAAGTATTTACAGTATTATGCCAAATCTTGATGTTTTACAGTAATTTGGCCTTACCACATAAAATAAACTGATTCGACTGAAAATGAAGACATTTTGTGAACTCTCTGTCTCTGTTTCTGCAGGGAGTGGTATCTCAATGGCAACTACTTGGTGGTGCTCGTGTCTTTCTCTGTCATCCTGCCATTGGCTCTAATGAAACAGCTGGGTGAGTCCATCATTTCTACTTCAATCCATCTCACCTCTCTCTTCACCTCCTGAAAGTGTGTTTCATCAGCCCATAGCGTGCACGTCTGACCCAGTTGAAAGGACTGTTCATATTACAGAGCGCAAGTTCAAGCACTTTAAAAGCACATTCTGTTTTCATATGAAGCGATAAGTCAGACCAATAAATAACCAAAGTAATGGCAAATAGGTTTTTTTTTTTTTTCTGAGAGCAAAAGTGTTTTATCCGTGCACAGTTGTTTTAGTAATTGAGTGAAGTTGACCTTGTCTGGTAAGCTCTGTCAGCAGAGATTAGCTTCTGAGATGAGTGATAACTCACTGCGCTTTTCTTAGCACATGCATTTATAGTTTGCAGGGATGCATGGATGTCGATTGACAATAGCACAGGGACGGCATATTGACGCGCTTCGCTATATATTTCTATTTTCAGGTTACCTTGGTTATTCCAGTGGCTTTTCACTCAGCTGCATGGTGTTCTTCCTTAGTGCAGTAAGTATTTGCCATCATCTTCATCATCATCCGATATTATTAGAGTCAATATAAAAACAAAATTGAAGAATCAAACCAAAAAATTATACCAAAAACTCACTACCATCCTGCCCCTGTATCTTATGCTTATAAACATATTTCAGACTCAGAGCGTGATGATTCACAGATGCGCATAACAGTTCGCCCACACACTCTTCCCAGAGGTATTTTAGAGGATGGAATATTATATCATATGTACAAAGCAATGCTGATTAATGAAATACTGACTTCAGAATAAGATGACTGCGGCTTTTAATTGATTGAAATTGGTTAAATTCTCTCGGGATAAATATGTTCTGTGATGTTTCACAAGTATAATTTATCAAGGGGTGTTCAAATATTAATGTTTTCTGTTTTTGCTCTTTGAGCTGCTTTTAGGGATTATTATTTTTAACCCATTGTGGCTTTATTTTGTCTATATTTCCTTCCTAAATTTCCTAAATTTTAGCCAACAAGACATATAGCTGTTAGGGATGGGCCAAAGTTGAGTACTCGCGTACACAAAATAGCTAAAATGCCTATGCGTATTTTCCATTTTCACTTTTATAATGTTAAGGCGAACTCAGAGATGAAGGAGAGTGGGATCCAATGGCGGATACACTTTAAGAATAATAATAGTAACAACAAAAGAACAAGGTACACGTGGGAAGACCATCACGAATCAAAAAAAAGAACTACAAAACTAACAGAGGAAACGGACTTTAATAGTCCAAACAAAACAAAGAACATATGACAACTCCATCCTCTGTCCCTTTCTTTATTTTTAGGTCATCTATAAGAAGTTCCAGATCCTGTGCCCATTCGAGGAGTTCACGGCCAATAGCACGCTGGCTCACGCACATTCAAACGTATCCACTAACCACGCCCACAGCTACCATAACGGACATGTGATGGCGGATGACTCCCACTGCAGCCCGCAGATGTTCACTGTGAACTCACAGGTACTGTATAGTTCAATATCACATGGAATTCAGAGGCCTGTTTCAAAGAAAACCAGCAGGTGGCGCAAAATTATTGGCTGCATCCAAAATCGCATACTTCTCTACTATAGACGAATCCGGCGAAACTACCGGAAGTAAGCGGTGCGACCATTACTGAGCTGTTGCTGGGTAGCGTTGCGCCATTGCCTCCTATTGTTTTAGTTGCAACTTGCGTCCACTGGAATAAACAGCCCGCGATTTACGACTGTCACTAACGTTACAACGTTACCCCTTGTATAATGTCGAGTGGGTAAACAGTTTCCGTTATAAATTGTTTCAATGGTGGCAGTAAAATTTTAATTTTGAAGAGAAAACATTGTGAATACCCCGGGTCGACTGCCCCTGTCTGGTGCCGTACGGTTTACAGATTTCCTGGGCGAGTACAAGACGTGGACATTCGCGTATAATAACAATTATTTAATGACATAAGTAAAAAAATTATAATAAATGTGATATAGTGATCAGCAAAATCTCCTCTCTTGCTATTTTTTCTATTCAATTAACATGCTATGGTCATTAAATGGCTTTCCTGAGCTAAATGTAACGTTATGTGACATAATTGTTTTCCTGCCCAGATAGCAAACTGACATTGAATCAACGTGGAAATATGGCATCGAAACAACGTTGATCTGACATTGTTTTGCTCATCGAATTAACGTTGAACCAACGTCAGACGCGTCTTTCTTTCAAAACTAACGGAAAATCAACTTGAAATCAACGCGTTGTTTCAACGTTATGAAAGCAAACCAATTTTCGATTTTCATTTAGCTTTGAAGAATGCCGCGTCTGACGTTGGTTCAACGTTAATTCGATGAGCAAAATCAACGTTGTTTCAATGTCATGAGAGACGTCGTTTCCACGTTGATTCAATGTCAGTTTTCTGTCTGGGTGCTGTTATATTGACCTCTTTCCATGGTTTAAAAACACTAATTGGTCGATATTATGTATACTTTCTAGCTGTAACGTTACCTTACCCATGCCTGTTGCAATGTGAAAATGAGATAAATAATGGACACAAATGAAAAACATGAATTTGTTTATTTGATTTCATTCATTTATTTATTTATTGTTGCCAAATGGACAGATCTTTTTATAGTTTCCTCGTTAGCAAACGTTAGCCTAGCTAGCTTGCCAAGCTATTTTCATAAATAACGTTAATCTGTAAGATCGTTTGTACCTTCATCTGTGACTGGAGGCCACTGCAGTCACAGATCAAACCAACAAGTCATTCTGCCTGGCTGTAGCTGTCATTGTTGGAGAATTCTGCTTGTCCTATGTACATGTGAAAGAAGCGTGCATGTGATGTAATGCCAAGCAGAAAAAACTAGGGTCTTAGGGCACATGAGGACAGGGACGAGAGAGTGGAAAAGTACCCAAAAAACACTTGTAGCACAGATGCAGGTGTTGGGAGGCACTGGGAGAGAAACAGATTGTATACAATGTAACAATGTGCCACTGGGAAAAGCGTACTGAAACAAGGAGCCCATTGTGTAAAAAGAAATGATACGCATGCGCAGAAAAGTTTGCCCCAATTAAAAATAAAATGATGATGCAGGTGTTTTTAATCTGGGAGGAGTAATAAGGAGGAGCCAGGAGAGAAGAGATAACAATTTGAGCGCTAATTGGCTACCACAAGGTATAAGAAATGAGTCAAGTCAAGTCAAGTCAAAGTCACATTTATTTATATAGCGCTTTTCACAATACAGATTGTATCAAAGCAGCTTCACAGTGATAACATGTAAGTAGCACAACACAGATCAACAACATTGCTAAACACTAAATAAATAACCCCAACTGAGCAAGCTCAAAGCACAAAGAAATGAGTGCAGACCATTGTAAGATCAGATGGCCAGCTGGCATCTCACTTTGTTGAACCGCTCAATAAAGTTGCTTTTCTGAGACCCAAAACCTCGACTCTGCACAATTTCTTCAAGACCTGATCCGGACTTTGATGATTTGAATTGAGACTGAAAATCTGCCACAACATAATCGAGGGTCCGAGGTTTGTTTACATACCGGTGCACATGTCTATGCCTGTGTAACAGCTCAGTAATGGCGTCGCCACAAGATGGCAGCCTACACAGAACGCTCGTCGGATTCGTCTATATAATAGGACAAAAACAGTATGTGACCAAAAAAGTATATCTGAATTTACATTCATAAAAAGTTTGCTAAAAGTACCCGGAGGATTTCCCTGTGAGATTCTGAAGTGTGCATACAATGGACACTTTACTATCCCATGAGGCCACGGGAGAGGATTTGTGAATGGCAGTGAAGCGATGCAACCTGACTGTGACAACATGGCGAATGTAGTACGTCCAGATTACATTCATACATCCCCAATAAGGTGCGAGTTTGTTCAAAATTTGACACAGATTCATTTAGTAACGAAACGTCACTGTGTTGCTCTGTAGACGCGCAATTGTAAATTTGTTTGGAACTATTTTTATTGACGAAATAAAGCAAAAAAACTTTATTCTCAATGTAAAATGTCCTTCAACTAATATTAATTTATTGTCTATTGAATTGTAGTAAAATATCAACATCACATTTGCAATCATGGTAATATTCTTGCTCGTATGGTATTGCTTAAAGGAGTAGTTCACTTTTAAAAAAACTTTTGCTGATAATTTACTCACCCCCATGTCATCCAAGATGTCCATGTCTTTTTTTTCTCCATATAATGGACTTCAATGGGAACCAAACAGTTCAAGGTCCAAATGAGAGTTTTAGTGCTGCTTCAAAGGGCTTTAAACGACACCAGACGATGAATGAGGGTCTTATCTAGGACCCTTCGAGTCATGACTCGAAAAAAGATTTGTTCATTTTGATGAACAGGAGAGTCAAGAACGCTCATCACAGAACAGCAAGGCCTAGCATTTGAGCTTATAAAACTTAAACTTTGTTATTTATTTTTGAAACGAGCGATCGTTTCGCTTGATAAAACCCTTATTCATCGTCTGGTGTCGTTTAAAGCCCTTTGAAGCTGCACTAAAACTGTCATTTGGACCTTAAACCGTTTGGTTCCCATTGAAGTCCATTATATGAAGAAAATCCTGGAATGTTTTCATCAAAAACCTTAATTTCTTTTCGACTGAAGAAAGAAAGACATGGACATCTTGGATGACATGGGGGTGAGTAAATTATCAGCAAAATTTTTTTTTAAAGTGAACTACTCCTTCATTTATAAACTGTTACAAATATTAAAAACAAGACCTCATACGGGGACATTTTTCACCCCATATCTTGAATTTAGCATTTTTATTCATTTTCATGTGTGAAACGGGTGAAACATAGCAAAGGCGTATCAGAATGCACTAAAACAACACTGTCTGTTCAACAGACTGCATACACCATCCCCATTCTGGCATTTGCTTTCGTCTGCCACCCTGAGGTCCTACCCATCTACACTGAGCTTCGCAAGTAAGTCGACTGCATTAAAGCAGCACTTGTAACTGCATTCTGTGTTTTGTTGAAATAGATTGAAAATGAATCTCATCCTTTTCTCCCTGCAGCCCAACTCAGAAGAAGATGCAGCACGTTTCCAACATTTCCATCCTGATCATGTACACTATGTACTTCCTAGCTGCTCTCTTTGGGTACCTAACATTTTACAGTAAGTTTAACACTTTTACATTAATAGTGCTTTGGCAGTACTTGTATTTGGTCCATGCACTGAATTGTATGAATGCATCATGTTAAATTAAAAACAGGCTGTGTTTCTGTTAGGTTGTGCAACACAGATCATTATCTCATTTGCATAGTTCCTAAATGAGCCTAAAACAACAAAAACAGCGGCTGTAAAAGGGATAGTTCACTTTGAAATTAATTTTTGGTATGTTTTAGCTTAACTAATGGGCATCCAAGATGTAGGTGTCTTTGTTTCCACAGTAGTTTCAATATTTTTAGGTCAAACCGTTCTTGTCTGTCAGTCATATAATGGAGGTCTATGGTCACCACTTCAAAAAGCATGCACAGAGAAGTCCAGATTAAACATGATTTAATGACTCATAAATGTAAGTACACATTGATGGCCTAAGACACGAAACGAACGGTTTGTGTGAGAAAACGAACAGATATATCGTTTTTACCTCTTGTAACCACAGTCATGTCCAAGTGATCTGAAGGCGCGAGCGCTTTGTTGGCTGTGGTTATAAGAGGTAAAAATGATATAAATAGTGTTCGTTTTCTCACACAAACCACTCGTTTCGTGTCTTAGGCCATCAATGTGTACTTACATTTACGAGTCATTAAATCATGTTTAATTTGGACTTCTCTGTGCATGCTTTTTGAAGTGGTGACCATAGACCTCCATTATATGACTGACAGACAAGAACGGTTTGACCTAAAAATATATAAAATTGAAACTACTGCGAAACAAAGACACCTACATCTTGGATGCCCATTAGTTAACCTAAAACATACCAAAAATTAATTTCAAAGTGAACTATCCCTTTAAAAAAAACTTGCTTTTAAGGTTCTGTGTAATATTAACATGATTATTAACTCAATGTTTGAACATTCAGATGAGTTCGCTCTTAAATATTCTAATCAGATCAGATGTAATGTAAATGTGAAACCTGCAAACTAAGTTGACAGTTTCTTCTATTTTTCCTTAGCTAACGTTGAGCCTGAGCTTCTGCACACCTACAGCAGGATCGACCCCTACGACACTCTCATCCTCTGTGTGCGTTTGGCTGTGCTGACCGCCGTCACCCTGACCGTGCCCATCGTTCTGTTCCCAGTGAGTTTCACGTCTTCATATCTTATATAGAGATCGTGCTATACTGTTTTTACCACAATATATCCAACGTGTGAATAGCTGAAACCCTAGCCTGCTCTGTAAACTGTAATGCAGGTGGGCAATTCTTTGATTAAAACAAGAGCGAAGTTCATTTTGAACCTTTGTGGTGTGCCACTAATGCCCATTCAACCAAGAACTTCCTTTTGGTTGTGAAGCATTTCATTTACTTGATTGTCAAAATCAATACTGCAAGGTTATGCATTCCTGTAGCTCAAACAGTAGAGCATCGCGCTAGCAACGGCAAGGTCATGGGTTCGATTCCCAGGGAATGCAAGTACTGATAAAATGTAAATGTCTATCGATTTGGATAAAAGCTTTTGCCAAAAGCATAAAATGTAATACAGTGGTTCTCAAACAGGGGGTCAGGGGTCAGGACCCACTAGGGTTTTCAGGACCTGACTAATAAGTTTTAAGAGAAAGCAGCTAAAAATCAAGATATAAACACACATATTTATTTATTCAACTTGTTCCCACTTGTCATTTTTTATTTAAGAACCATGGGGAATTTTTTATTTAAGAGCAATTAATAAAAAGTCACAGAGATTAGTAGTTATTCTAGTTAAGTCAAGCTTTAAAATATTTGATTAGGTAAAAATTGCTGAGAAACAGCTATTTGTGAAAAAAACAACAAACTTGTAATTTTTCTAATCTCCTGTAAAAAACTACTGGAATTATGAAATTCAATTATTTCAATTTGAATTATATACAAATATTTTATTTATTTTAATATATTGCCACACCTAGTTTCTGAAAATAAAAGAAGCAGTCAAAAACTTTGAGAACCACTGACGTAATATATGGACCATTTTGTCTTGAATAATACAGCAAAAATAACTATATTGTGACATATACCGTTATTGTTATATGAAATGACTCATGCTGCCCACTCTAAAGATACATATTGGAAATAATAGAGAGATTCAGCTTGATGTTCAGAATATAAGTGTACATGTGATCAAATGTTGCTTAAAGGAGTAGTTTACTTTTGAAAAAACTTTTGTTGATAATTTACTCACGCCCATGTCATCCAAGATATCCATGTCTTTCTTTCTTCAGTCGAAAAGAAATTAAGGTTTTTGATGAAAAGCATTTTCAAAAAAAGCATTCCAGCATTTTTCTCCATATAATGGACTTCAATGGGAACCAAACGGTTCAAAGTCCAAAAAGACACTTTCAGTACAAACTGCAAACTGTTCAAAGGGCTTTAAACGATTCCAGGCGATGAATAAGGGTCTTATCAAGAGAAACGATCACTCATTTAATAAATAAATAACAAAGTTTAAGTTTTATAAGCTCAAATGGTCATCTTGCTCTGTTCTGTGATCCGCGTTCGTGACTCTCCTGTTTGAACTCATTCATCAAAATGAACGAATCTTTTCTCAAGTCACTTGGTTCATTGAACGAACTAAAAAGAACGAATTGACTTGGAAAAAGATTCATTCATTTTGATGAACGAGTTCGAACAGGAGAGTCTCAAAAGCTCATCACAGAACAGAGCAAGGCGAGCATTTGAGCTTATAAAACTTAAACTTTGTTATTTATTTATTAAATGAGCGATCGTTTAGCTTGATAAGACCCTTATTCATCGTCTGGTATCTTTTAAGCCCTTTGAACAGTTTGCACTGAAACTGTCTTTTGGACCTTGAACCGTTTGGTTCCCATTGAAGTCCATTATATGGAGAAAAATCCTGGAATGTTTTCATCAAAAACCTTAATTTCTTTTCAATTGAAGAAAGAAAGACATGGACATCTTGGATGACATGGGGGTGAGTCAATTATCAGCAAAAGTTGTTTTAAAAGTGAACTACTCCTTTAAAGTCAGTTCAGTCATTAAAAATGAAATGAAAATGATCTGTTACTTCTTCTCTAAGGTACGGAGAGCCATTCAAGAGATGGTGTTTCCTAATAAGACCTTCAACTGGATCCGACACATCGCCATAGCCGTCATTCTCCTGACTTTCATCAACATGCTGGTCATCTTTGCCCCAAACATCCTGGGCATCTTCGGCATCATTGGTGAGTCCTTCAATCCTCGCTGGCTCAAGAGCTCAAAATCCAGACGGGTCAAAAGTGCTCTCTTTCTGTGTTCAAACATGTGTCTGAAATGCCAAAGCAGAGACTCACTTGTTTGTCTTGCTTTCTCAGTATGGTTAAGGGACACTGACACTGTCTCTGGCCTTGAGTACAGATTCAAATGTCTCCAATGCTTGTTTGAACAGATAATGTTGTGCCGTTAAATCAATATTTTTTGTGTTTATCTCATATTATTAGAAAAAGGTGAGTGTCAAGGTTCCGTTCAGCCATAATGAAGAGGAAAACAAAACAGATCAATGATATTAAACTCTTTTTTTTGTCCAGGTTTCTAAACAAAAATTAATTTGGTATTTTTTTAAATTCTAAAAATGTTTGACGGTGCAAAATAATCTCATCGAAAGGCTAAAAAACATGTTTAGGCATAATCTTTCAATATCGTCTAATATGTTTTACGTCCTTTGAAAATGTTAAATGTGAGTAATTTGAACGATTTTTCCTGTCAGATGCTCATAAAATGACTCAAATGATGTTTGTGCAACATTCTCATTTTCATCAGCAAAGACAACGTCGCTGGAATTGTAATTGTCATCATGTTTAATTGTCGTCAGTGTCAGATTTGATTGGATTCAGTTGATTAGCTAATCTACATGTCCTCTTCTCCAGGTGCAACATCCGCTCCATGCCTTATCTTCATCTTTCCTGCTGTCTTCTACATCCGTATTGTTCCGAAGGATAAGGAGCCAATGCGATCTACCCCCAAAATCTTTGTAAGTTATGCTTACATTATGATTTATGTTATGATTATGATTAAGTTATGGCTACCCAGTAGGAGAGAGGAGAACATTTCGAAAACTGTTTATGCATCGCTAGGTGTTTGCAACACATTTATCCAAGGTTTATAGCAGTTAGACTCTAGCTACGTTTCCATCCAAAGCTATGAATTTATGAATCCAATAAACTTAGATTATTGCCTAAAACATTTGCGAATAAGCACCGTTTCCATGATCCCAAAATCATCACTTCATGGGAAATTAAATATCTTTTACAATAATGGAAGTAGAAGCCAAAATGATTCGCGCGTTAGATGAAACGCGACAGGTTATTTTGCGTTCGGATGCCTGGTGTTTGTGGATGCAATTGACCTATGGCTAAGCCACGCCCCCTGCACTCACTCGGACACAAAGTCAACATTCGGGGACAGGCGCTATGGCAGCCGTCACATTAGGAGACATTTCACAGGAGGCAATTGGTGATTTTTGGAGACGGAAAGATTAAATATCATCTCGATGTCACCTAAAGAACCTTAACTATGCATTGGAGGGTTTTATTAATAATTGTATTGTTGAGAAGGTCGATGAAAAGCTTCAGCTCCAGGCAAAAATGTACAGGTCACCGTGTAAACGTGATAAACCGGATATCGTTGCCATCACCACAGTATTTACATGAATCATTCAGCACAACATTGTTAACATTTGTTATTTACAGATACGTTAGCGACGCTAAGCTAACACAGCTAGAAGCTAACGTTAATTTTTTCTAATGCTAGGCTAACGTCACTTTAAAAAAAACTTTTGCTGATAATTTACTCACCCCCATGTCATCCAAGATATCCATGTCATTCTTTCTTCAGTCGAAAAGAAATTAAAGTTTTTGATGAAAACATTCCAGGATTTTTCTCCATATAATGGACTTCAATGGGAACCAAAGGGTTCAAGGTCCAAATGAGAGTTTCAGTGCAAACTGCAAACTATTCAAAGGGCTTTAAACGATTCCAGATGATGAATAAAGGTCTTATCAAGCGAAACGATCGCTAATTAAAAATAAAGTTTAAATTTTATAAGCTCAAATGGTCGCCTTGCTCTATTCTGTGATGGGAGTTCGTGACTCTCATTTATCGAAATGAACAAATCTTTTCCAGAGTCAACTTACTCATTTCGTTCGTTGAATGAAAAAGATTCGTTTTTTTATTTCTAAAATACTCTCTTAACTTGTTCAACTGATTCATTTTTAAATCGGTTCACAAAGCCAGTTTATAAAATACATTTGATTTGGTTAATGACTGAACGACGTTTTTTCTCCTTTTCTCAGGCTGCCTGTTTCGCTGGACTGGGCGTGTTGTTTATGACAATGAGCTTGAGCTTCATAATCATTGATTGGACAACAGGCAGCGGCAGTGCTCTGGGTGGCCACTAGGAGACAAACTCTGATGAACGTTTGTACATGGCTTTGTATGTATGCGAGTGCGTGCCGTACGTGTAGTTAGTGATGTAACATACTGGAAGATGATCTGATTTATTTTTATCTGTATTTTTCTGCCTGTTATGACGCAGAAAATACACCGTCCCACTGTAGGAAGGGAAAGGTGTGGGGGACCCGAAACAACATCCCATTTTCCACAGATAACCTGCCATCAGACAATGGGGAAAAATGGCTTTATTTTTAAACACTTTTGATAAATTCAGACTGATGTTATATATGTTTTAAGGTCAAACATGCTGACCATTTCAATTATTTATTCAAGTTTTCGTACTACATCCTCACTTAGGAATATGAAATATGCTGTTAGGACTCATAATTCGCTCTGTTTTATCAATCCCGATCCCTTATACTTGACAGGACTGTACTGTAGAAACACAGAATCGCATCCTTCTAGATTTCTTTGAAGTGACAGCAAATGCTTTGTACAATAGTGTCATATATCAGATTGTAATCTGTGTATTACTTCGCCCATAGAACAAGTAGATTGAAGAAGTTACGCTAGCTAGATGGGTCGGTAGATGGTTTACTCTCCAGCGGGCTTTGGACAATCAACGAGTCACATCACCACCTATTTCAGTGTGCCAAAGCAAAGGATTTCCATTTATTAAACTATCATAATGTATATTTTCTGTTTTCCTAAAGTATGCACAGTAGCCATAGAAAGCAAGGCTTGCCTTGATCACATGGAGATTTAAACAGTGAGAAAGGTATTTATTTAAATGTATCGAATATATTTTGCAGTTCACTGGATGAGTATTAGTGTGTTCTAGTATTAACGTGTACATTAACCGTGTCCTTTATCGTTTTTGTGTGTATCGCGTTGAAGATCTTAATGGGATCCTCAAGGCCATTTACGCAAAAGCTAGATAAGGACTTCATACAGTATACATACACAAAACTATTTTTTTTTTTACTTGAAGCAGACGTAATATCCCCTGTATTAGAATTCAAACGATCACATTAAGTGATTTCGTTTGGAAGCTGCTTTGGAAGAAATATGAAAAGGGTTGTAAATGTTTTATTTTTTCACATCTGTGTTTACCTTGTTTTACAGTTAATTTTCTTGTAATCTGAGTATTTATGGACCCTGCTTTCGGTATTAGCAGTAGATGATGAACCAGCTGAAATGTTGAAACGGGAAAGACATCGGTATTTTTTGTTAGTTTGAAGGAAACCGTATCATTATTCTGTGTTTGAAATCTCTCGATCTTATTCGGTGCTTTCAAAACTGTAATGCGTTCAGATTCTGCCAAAATACTGGGCTGTGCAATCCTGGTGTACAGTAAGTTGTGCTAATATGATGTGCTGACTGATGACTAGCTGGGTTGGTAGTGGCAGATATTGGTAAACCATGAGCAAACATGAGCTATTCTGCAACAGATGTGAGTATCACCACATTAATGACAGAAATTATTCGATGAGAAACAGACTTCATATGAATTGACATGGTATTGACTATGTGACACAAAGTGAACTTAATGCTGGAGATTTAAGTACAATGCCAGTGGTCCCCAATTGTCACCATTTAACCCTAAAACGGTATACTGGACAAATGTGGGCAAAATAGTTTTGATTTTTTTTTTTTTTTTTTAAATACTTCCCTTGATCTGATCGGTACAAGACTTGGCTACTTTTTCTAAGTTTGCCTCCCGAACACACACAATTTTTTTTTTTTTGACTCAATTCAACAATGTTAAGCGGGCGAGAAAAAAAAAATCTTGTATTTGGGTCAAAAATGGGCACCCATAGAAATGAATGGGAAAAAATGTAATTTAGAGCTTTCTAAAATAACCCAAAATAAGACACCAGGTGACAGCAAAGTCACTTCATCTTTAGGTTTTAGCTCTAAGAACTTATTGGAATGATATTTTAATGTAGTTAAAAAAATTGTACTTTTTGAAGTAAATAAATTCAAAATTCCCCCAAAATAAAAAAAAAAACACCATAAATGGATAGACAAAACTTAATCGAAGACAGTGATATAACATTTATAATAAATAAAAATTAGGATCACACCTGAGTCCTATGTGACCACATTTGTCCACAATTACAGGAGGGCTATAAAGTGAATACGGTTTGAGGGCTACTATGGCAAGGATGTTTGTTATGCAACTCTTGCTTTATTTTCCTTAATCTGATCATTTGATTCTTATTTTTGAAGTTTTATAAAAAGAAAAAGTGCCTCAGAATACAACCAGCTACCTTAAATGCCCTTTAGATACTACCTATTTTTTATTTTGCCACTGGTTAAATACTTTAACTTTTTTATCCTGGTTACAATGAATTGTTATATTTTACTATTTTATTAATAATAAGATTTGTAATTTTATTATTATACTCAACTCTATTTGAAATACTCTTTTAGTTAAGTTATAACTTTGCTTGGTATATATTTGCTTCTACCAAAGTAGCAGTAGATTGAAGATAAATTCAAGGGTGAATATTGTGATTCATATCGTATGTAATGCAAAACTTATAACGACTGAAATTCCGTAAATGTTATTTTGTCTCAGTGCTGCACAGTTTATATCAGAGTAGCATATATTCAAACAAGAATTGCTAATATTTGCTAATATTTGTTCTATTTAATCTGGTACAGACAGATCATCTGGAAAACACAAACCACAGTTTGCTTTTCAAAGCACACTACACTTATTTAATCGATACAGTTGGGTTCAAGATTGTTTAGTTCATTCGTATATTGTATATAAACGTGAACCGCTGTTGTGATGCATATTTAGCTTGTATAGTGTAAATAGCAGAACCAATTTACAATAAAAAAAGCTGTTTTTAAACCTGTATGTGAGTTTTGTATTTACTACCCTGCCAAAAATAACATTATGACTTTCTTATGGGTCAATACATCCAAACTAGATTCTATATTTCCGTGACTAGCTTTTACAGTGATTAGTTTTTCTAACACTTGAGGGCGATGTTTGCAGATCTAAATGACAAAATTTGTCAGATATAATAACCTAAACTTGCATTCAGTGAATTTACATGTATCCTATTATTCTTAACCAGGTCTATTATTTATCTGCATAACATGGTGTGCTTATTGTTGAATATTTTAATAGATTTCTCCGTGCTTTCAATTCATGATTCATACAATTCGCGAACGAGTCGTTCTTCTGAGTCGATTCTTTTTGAACATTTCATTCGAACTGATTCGCACAGCGATTGAGGTGAGTGAAGTTAACCTGTGTTAAATTTAGGCTATTTTACTGAATAAAATGTCACTGAATTGATTCAAGTTTAGGCTATTTGCCATTTCCTTACAAAATATAAAAGATTTTAATATACAATTTCAATAAATCTTCTTTATTTAGTGTAGTGCAGTTGTAAACAAAGTGGCAAATTAAGGGCTATGCTAAGTGTATTAGCCTACCCAGGTTACTTTTTTATTTGTGTTATGAAAGTATATTTTTTTAATTATGGAAAGAGTATAGCCTATGATAATGTTATTATTATTCGTAAACCAACAGTTAAGACTGAATTGATTTCGCTAACTAGATTTTTGTATCTTTTCAGTGAAATGTTTCTTGTGATGTATGAGTCTTGTTTATGTTTATACGTCAGTGTGTTAATTAATAATGTTTGTTGAGTGATAATTTCAAAGAATCAATGAATCATTTTTAACCACCGGTAGTTCATTGAATCATATGAGCACACCGATTCGCTCTTGATTGAATCAGCAGCAGAAAACTACTGCATTTCCCACAATTCACGGGCAGTTGTTCATCAGTGGGTGGGTGCTGCACGCTTGGGCTTTTTTTCACATTCTTACGCTCTGTTTATTCCTCAGAAGAAATCAGCGCGAGTGGAACGCCGCAACGTTCTAAATTTGAATTGTGAAATATTTCGAATTTCCCTGCGCCAGGTTCGAAATGCAGAACGTTTGAATTTTAAATAAAAACGGGGAGAAAAAATTCCAGAGCAGTTTGGAGGCAACATTTTTCTCAAGAGTTGTTTATATTTTCGCGTGTTAAGAAAGGCACCTGACTCAGTGCACGCGCATGATTTTGAGTTCCAGAACCGTGAGCGGTTGATGAACGCGCCGACACCGCGGCTGCTGCTCTCTGATCTGAAAGGAGACGCTAAAGGAAGATTGATTGATTTGGTAGAAAGCTTTTTAACTTTTTAATCTCGTCTGAACATATTCGAACCCTCCTGATTGATGGAGAGTCACAGGACGAGCATTTTCGGAATCAAACCATTTAATTGTGACACTTTGCACCTTTAAATCACATCTGCCAATCCACGCAGCGTTGACAGTTCTTGAGCGGTACGGACCGAACTGATCTGACCCGTTCTCTGAAGTTTGACGCGCGCACGGTTCGATCATGGGCTGCACGGTGAGCGCTGAAGACAAGGCGGCCGCCGAGAGATCAAAGATGATCGACAAAAACCTGCGGGAGGATGGAGAGAAGGCGGCGAGGGAGGTGAAACTGCTCCTGCTCGGTAAGTCATGGCACGTCGTGAGTGTGTGTGTGTGTGTGTGTGTTATTTTCAGCAGGTCTGTGTGTTCAGAAGGCTCCCGCGAAAGATTTCGTTTTCCAGTGCTATTTGTCACATGCTTCCTTAAAAACAACATGCCAGCACTTTGCTACTCGTTTGGAGGAGATCAATACATTTAGTGTGATATTGCGGATATGATGTGTTCGATTCGATTGGTGATGGATGCAAACACACCAGCATCCGTTTAAATGCACTGCTGCTGTTTTTCTTTTGAGACAATGTTATTTACAAAAGACTGTAGACATGTACCGCGAAAATACTATAGAATACCTCAAAGCACTTTTGCTCTCCATACAAGATTTGGAAGATCTTGGCATTTTGTATGATCAGTGATAAGACATGTGCGCACATGCACATACATTCCGTGGTAATCATCGAAGCACATTGGAGTAGCTACCATGGTGTTTAGGATATACCATGCTAGCAGTATGGAATAAAAGTGCCTTATAATGGTGAAGAAAATCCATGGTACTCCAGGCAAGGTACTTCCAAACGTATCATGGCTTTTTTTTGTTGTGTAAATTATATAATATACATCTTTAGCATGCTCATGACACAGTTTAGGCATGCTCTTCCAGCCCACCATTATCTCAGTGCTTCGTCAACACTGTTATTATGTGACATTAAATATACATTTGTTGAGTGCATAAGTGATCTAGGTGCTGCATATTTTGTGCCATCTAGTTATATCATCATTAGCATGCCGTTGTTTCATTTAGTATCATTTAGCTTATTCAGGTCAATTGCAGATGTTCTCTAATGTAACCACCTGCTATAGTGCATTATGTAACTCTTCTGCTATACGTCCATTAGCTATACTCACCTCTGCATTGGGAAAAAAAAACGCTTATCAATGTTTAATTATGTGGTTTCCATGGATGCTGCATTGTCCCTTATGCTCATGTGTTTTTAGGCCTTGCCATATATCATCTCAGCTCTCTTGTTCTATTGCTATTGTATCAAAAGCTTGCCATTAAATGAAGTAAACAGGCATCCAAGATAAAATGCTGTTTGACGGTTAGCAAGACGACCAGGTTAGGAATAAGAGCCTGCAGGTAGATCACTTAGTTGTCGAGGAACCCTGGCAGTGAGAATCAGATAAGTACAGCTCTAAACAAAAGACCATTCAATTATACTTCATTAAAGAGTTCTCCCACTGTAACCAATCCATTTGTATTCTGTCAGGTCCATTGGTGGTAAATGAAAGCGTGTTGGATTCTGAAAATTACTTAGTACTGTATGATTCTGTAGTTAATGTATGTTGATACTTGGCTATTTAGTCACTCAGTGGATGTTCTGGTAAAATACCTGGATCAACAAAATGATTAGTACAAAAACAGATTTTACAATCCATTAGATATGCGGCAGTGTGTATGAGTGCTTTTCGCAATCACAGTGTTTTTTTTTTGTGGCCCATAGACCTTAGGTTAGATTACAAGTAGGGATGGGCAACGATTAATCGCGTCCAAAATAAAAGTTTATGTTTACATAATATATGTTTGTGTAGTGTGTATGATTAATTTGTATATATAAATACACACACATGCATGTATATATGAAATATTTGCATGTATATACTTTATATATATTTATACATAATTAATATTATATAAAAATATTAATAACACATTTTTCCTTAAATACACACATACATGTGTGGGTATTTATATATACAAATTAATTATACACACTACACACACATATATTATGTAAACACAGACTTTTATTTTGGATGTGATTAATCGTGATTAATCGTTGCCCATTCCTACAAGCACTGCATAAAAGTGCTAGATCATAGGGCTGTCAAACGATTAATCGCGATATTTTTGTGATGTTTACATAATATACGTGTGTGTATAATTATTTTGTATATATAAACACATGCATGCATGTATACAGTATGTATATACTTTATACATATTTATACAAAATTAATATTATACATAAATATACATATTTTATATATTAATAACACACATGCATATGTGTGTATTTATATATACAAAATAATTATACACACAACACACACATATATTATGGAAACACAAACTTTTATTTTGGATGC